ACACTCCCTCCCGCCTCACCCAGGCGGGAGCAGTCATTCTATGATGTTCCCCCCTTAAAAAAAAACACGTTACATCGAAAGCCGGAACGGTAATTTGTAGACGACACAAATAATTGACTGTTGACTGCACCGGCGCGCGGTGACTGGGAATCCTGCTGCCGCGCAATGTGTAGCGCGTTTGATCCCCGCAAGGAGCAACTCTTTGTGTGAACCACAAGTTGTTGTTTCGGGTCTGGGTGTCACGTGTATGTTTGTAAACTCACTCACGACACAGGAGAAAACTCTAGTGTGGGGCTACGCTTTAAAAAAAATCTGATTGCCTAACCAGTACCTAAACCGTGGCATGAACTTAAAGAAAAAATATTCACTGAACGGTACGGTCGGGGTCACCGTATATTCTTTCATAATATAATAACGATATAATTATTTTTGAGGTATTACATAAAATGAACACTACTAGTCTATTTTTGAATCTTTTAGCTACATACCTACATACATACATACATAACTTCACACCTGTCTCCCATGGGGGTAGGCAGAGACTAAGGAACGCCAATTACTACGATTCTTACCTATCTCTTTCGCTTTTAGCTATTGTGTTTAATATAACCCAGCCAAAGTAACAAAAATCCTTTATCCTTTGTAGTGTCTGCTGGTTATCATGCAGCTATACCAATGTTCAGTTTCGCCGAAACAAGGTGATTGCACTAACCTTTTGGATTATATTGCTGAGTACCAGGAATCTAGTTCTTTATTCCTGATCCTGTTGAGTTCCAGGTTTGCCCACACGGTCACTGATGCCTTGAGTATTAAAACTTCACTTTCTAACGATTACACACTATTAACTCAAAAATTTACTATTTTACTATAGTATATAAATAATAGTAGTAATGTTTCTTGTGCGAGAGTCGTACGTGTTATGTACCTATATTTAAAAACAAAACAAAATCGCAAGTACACCTGGCTACATATTATCTACCTTACCTATACATAAACATTATACCGTGGTCTCACAATGTATGATCTTTCCGCACATTCGACCATCAGTTTATACTGGTTTTGTTTAGCGTGATGTGATGTGTCGTCAAAATCTCGGTAAGCCTTTAGCACGATCATTGAAATGCGTAGGTACGTATTTTCAGCCAATAGGCAATAACGCGAAACATTTATTCAACCACAAAAAATGTTTTAAAAAATCCCGGACAATGGCTGCAAATAAATCTGGTCCTTATTTTGTAGTATGAGAATTTCATTTAGCTTTTGTATGTGACCTTTCATATATTTACCCATTGGTCATACATTTCATTCATTCATATTATAGCGAAACGTATTAAACTGTCAAATACCAAGCGGTCACCGGTGACCGCAACCTATTGTTCTATAATTGTGTCTACAAAACCGGTACTCCACGAGTTAATATAGTCTGTGCAACACAGCTTTATTTATTTAGGTACCTACATATTATATAGCTTTGACTTCGTAATTAACTCGTCGAGTACCGGTTTTGTAGACACAATTATAGAACAATAGGTTGCGGTCACCGGTGACCGCTTGGTGTGTGACAGTTTAATGAAAATGTTATTGGAGACAACCCCGAAGGGGTAGGCAGAGGTACACATTACGGCACTTAATGCTACTGTTCTATAGAGGTATAACACCCATTTTTCACTATTTATGTCATGATTCCCATATAATAGGGGGTGAGCCTATTGCCATATACCGGGCACAATTCCAAATTCCGTGGTACTACTGAGAAATTATAAAATTCCAATAATACTTTGCCCGACCCGGGAATTGAACCCGAGATCCTTTACTCGGCAGTCGCACTTACTACCGCTTGGCCAACGAGGCAGTTAAAGTTCCACGTCTAGTAATATAAATATTTTACTATCTATGATTTTACTCAAAATATTTTTATATTACTCACCCTATTTGTTTGCTTCTGATTCATATCAAAACATAAAATAGCATAACATTTCAAATTATTGTAAGAAAAACATGATAAACAAATACTTTTTAATATCGATGTGTGTTATCAAGAACAAGGTCTTTACTATGGGCGAGACAAGCCTGGTATTTACTAAGCACGACTATTATCTATTACTAGCTACTTGCGCGCGGTTTCACCCGCTCTGCTCGGCTCCTATCGGTCGTAGCGAGACGTTTTATAGCTTAAAGCTTTCCTCGATAAATGGACTATCCAACACAAAAATAATTATCCAATTCAAATCAGTAGTTTCGGAGATTAGCGCGTTCAAACAAACAAACAAAAAAACAAACTCTTCAGATTTATAATATAAAAGTATAGATAATAGAAATGGACTACATCTGATAAAACTACCAAGGTTACTAAGAAAAAATATAAGTATGTCGTTTTTATAGAGGTACATAACCCAATATAGCCCCAACTGGCATATAAAATTAAACACAACATATTTGTTTATACAGTACCTATGTCCCAGATTTCGGACACCTTTAATTTCGGCAAGATAATGGCTCATTATACAGGAGTGTCGACGTATATGGGACTTCATAATTATAAATTAAGCCGCCATGTTTATTAAGGGCCGTCAGATATACATAATAATCCGTACTAATATTATAAATGCGAAACTGTATGTGTCTATTTGTTTGTCCGCCTTTCACGGCAAAAAGAAACAACGAATTAATGTAATTTGTTTCGGACATTTAGTTGAAGGGATTGTTAGTAACATAACATAACATCTCGCCTTTTATCCTCGAAGGGGTAGGCAGAGGTGCGCATTATGGTATAATCTAACCCGCACAATGTAATAATCTAACCTGTACAATGTAACCCGCTTTTGACTATTTAATGAGTGCCATGTAATAGGGGGTGAGCCTATTGCCATATACTGGGCACAGTTCCAGACTCCGTGCTACTACTGAAATTTTTTTTGAAATCCAATGATACTTTGCCCCTCCCGGGAATCGAACCCGAGACCCCTTGCCCCTTGCACTTGCGACCACTCGGCCAACAAGGCAGAGGATTGTTAGTAACTGAAGAATATGTATATGCAGGTCTTCTGTCAACTAGGAGCGGAATAAAACAACGGACGTCTCGATAGCACAGCGTATAATCGCAAACTGTTGCGGCAGTGGTGACCACCTTATAACTTAACTATAATCGCGGGTTACTCACGGAAATATGTCGCGGAGAACCTAACGGTCGCGGAGAACTTAACGGTCGCGGAGAACCTAACGGGTAACCGGGAGGAGAGGGAACGGGGTGGTTTTTAGGCAGTAAGAGTCTGACACTCCCTCCCGCCTCACCCTAGGCGGGAGCAGTGTCGCGGAGAACCTAACGGGTAACCGGGGCTCCGGCTCGACGTGCAGGAGAAGGAACGGGGTGGTTTTTGGTCAGTAAGAGTCTGGCACTCCCTCCCGTCTCACCCAGGCGGGAGCAGTCATTCGATGATATTCCCCCCTTAAAAAAAAATAAAAAATAGGGCGGGAGCAGTCATTCGATGATTTTCCTCACGTAAAAAAAACCTTTTAATACGTGGTAAAATTGTTATTTAAGTCTGTCCCGAGTTCTTTTCTGTGTTCTAAACCAGGAAAGAGAAGTCGTGTTACCCTGAATTTAAAGTGAGCGTAGCCGCAGGAAAAACCTAGTATTCTATATTCTCTGTTAAATATATCCCTCACTGGATTAATTAAAATTTTTGTCCCGAATATTTGGTGTTTTTTCAGCCCAAATATTAGGATTTTATAGGTAATTTTTATCTGTGTTCTGTTTGTGTACGATAGTTGTATAAACAAATTTGGTATAGTGTAGATTTTTGAAAATATTTACAAGTCTTGTTATTACAGTCTTGTCTTTATCTGATAAATAAATATTGCTAGTTTTATATTTGATGTTGTAGAAAATTCTAGGTTTAATTTTGTGGATATTATATGTTTGACCAGTTTCAATAAAATATTAAAAAAAAATTAGAACCATGCAGTCACTGAAAATATAAATGATAATAATTAATTAGGTACCTACGCAATATTTTTGAAGCCTTCACTTATGTTAGTAGTATTTCCACGTGTTCAAGTTCATGTCTAGCAAATCCCTTGCCACTTGGAACTCTGCCTCTGCCCACTTCGAGAGTAAATATAAATTGTAATACTCCAAGACAGTAATAAAACATAACATCACGCCTTTTATCCCCGAAGGTGTAGGCAGAGGTGCACATTACGGAAACTAAATGCCACTGTACAATATAACACTCACTTTTCACTATTTATGTTATCAGTCCCATGTAATAGGGGGTGAGTATATTATATACCGCGCACAATTTCAAACTCTGTGCTACTAGAGATTTTTTTTAAAACCCAGAAATACTTTGCCCGACCTGAGAATCGAAACCGAGACTCCTTGCCCGGCAGTCGCACTTGCGACCACTCAGCCAACGCGGCAGTAATAAAACAAAATTAATTTTATGGGATAAGCCAGTAAACGAGCAGACGGATCACCTGACGGTAAGCAATCGGCGTCGCCCATGAACACCCGAAACACCAGAGGCGTTACAAGTACGTCACCAGCCTTTTGGGAATTGGGAATTTGAAGATTGTGGGAGATTCGGCAATTGAGTACTTTCGGTAACCTCACTCTCACGACAAAGCACAACGCAAACGTTGTTTCACGTCGGTTTTCTGTGAGGCCGTGGTATCACTCCGGCCGAGCCGGTCCATTCGTGCCGAAGCATGGCTCTCCCACACTTGAACTGATGAACTTGTATAAATAAGTTCAGTCACAAGTCTGAGTCAGTCATGACCTTTTGACATAAAACGTAAACCTTAATATTAAACGACGCTTAAAGCGCTAAAGAGCAAATTTAATGAAAACAAGAGTTAATGAATGCACTATAAGTAGAAACTTAAACAGAAACAATGATTACGTAAGCTAAATAGACTCAACTTCATCTCAGAATATCTTGCAACTTAATGTAAGTATTTTCTTCATACGAATATTAACCTTATCCTTCTTGTTTCAGAGTTTAGTCTTCAGTGTGAAGAATCATCCGAATGTGCCAGATTTTCAGCAGTGTGTGTCCTTTGGTGCGTTTGCGACCCAACACCAGGAGTTGGCGTATAATGTATTTTGTCTTGGAGCGGTGTATTTTCTACCCCTGACTATTATCTCAGTGTGCTATGCCTGCATATTTTATGAAATATCAAAGAATTCTAAGGAAAATTCCGGTGAGTACTTTTGCATTATGATTGTCTCGATGTTTAATAGTATTTTAATTTATCTAATACCTTTAAATGAACAATTATTGTATATACTTTTTATTTTTTTTAACGTTGCCCCACACTTTTAATTTTTTTATTTTTTGTTAAGAGGGGAATATCATCGAATGACTGCTCCCGCCTGGGTGAGGCGGGAGGGAGTGTCAGACTCTTACTGACTAAAAACCACCCCGTTCCTTCTCCTGCACGTCGAGCCGGAGCCCCGGTTACCCGTTAGGTTCTCCGCGACTCCGAAATCAATATACCTAAGTGTTGTCTTTATAACTTACAAATATAACTATGTACTAAAAATAATGACACAGGTTCATTTATAAGATTATTTACAAAAAAAAAAGTTGCCCCACACTAGGTTGTTCTCCTGTGTCGTGGGTGCGTTTACAAACATATCTACAAGTTCACATACACATGATACCCAGACCCGGAACAATAATTTGAGGATCACACAAAGAGTTGCTCCGTGCGGGAATCGAACCCGCGACACGTTTTTGGGGGTAATAAATCGATCTAGCTATATAGGTTTTATTTTCAAAAAAGGTTGTTTACTAAAGAAAAAACATCGAGTTATGCTTGGTCAACATTTAGTCATCTACCCTATTCCAATCACATTTTTGTTATTTGTCTTCATAAGTATCTAATTTATTTCATAATTTCCAGAAAAATACCACCAATCAGATCACAGTAGAGTGATGCTCAGGCGATCGGACCAGAGACCACTGGCACGCGCTCGAAGAAGAACACTCCGTATGACTGTTACTATAGTGACTGTTTTCGCTTGCTGCTGGCTACCTTACGCTACCATGACTTTATGGTAAGTAAAAACCGTACAATGGTTTAAACTTCTTGTTTTCAGAACAAGCCTAAGGGCTCGTACACAAAACTGCGATGCGACGTCGCATCGCAAAAATGTGCGAGCTCCCTCTACGCATCGCAAGACCTTGCGAATCGATTCGCATCGCGCATCAAAATCTTCTTTGTTTCTTTATTCCTGTATCTCCTAAGTAATAAAAAAGTGCACACTTCTTTTTACGATCCACGTCACGACCTAGTATTCAATTTAAAATACGTTTAGTACTGTTGATGGTCATTGAAAGACACCTTGGGAGACGCCTTGTCGCACGAAATCGCATAGCAGTAATTCACATCGTAATTTTTTGTGTTGCGAATTCGCATCGCAGTTTTGTGTACGAGCCCTAAAGTCAGCAATAGTCAGGGCCAGCTTTAGATTATTTGTCTTCAGTCGGTATAAGATCACTGCTGCACCAGAACGTATTCCGTAGGTATACTGCTGAGCCAAAGGCTTATTAGGTGTATCCTTCTTTAGATGGAATTACAACCCCCATTAAAATTGGCAGGCTGTGATCGTGGTTAGGTAGGTAAAAAGGATGTTTCTGCCCACCTCGCTGTGGCTAGTTGAATTTTAAGACACCCGATTTCACTCTGGACCTCACTGAAACGAAAGTAAAAAAAAAATGTTTATTGTAAAGTATTACTTAAAATTCAACGAATGGTTTGTATACATTTGTCATGCTACGCTGAAGACGTTTCTCAGTAGCTTTTTACTAACGAGGCGACTGTCTAACATGTAAATGACTAATTCAAATGAGACCAGCATTTCAACCAATTTTTACAAGCAGAAACATAGGTATACAGGTTCACCTCACACTGTACCTAAAACATGTTACGTAATACATTTTGTCAAACCTTCCAAGGGCAAACCTAATTGGTCCTATACAGGAATGTTACACAATTTCCTAGCTCAATGTTTTCCAATAATGGATGACGTTTTGTGACGCAAGTAACCATAAATTGTGATATAGTGAACCAAATTGTAGGGTCTCCGGTATACGTTGATTAGCTTGGTGTTACGTTTTGATTTATATTATTGGTATTCGTACCTATCTCGTTTCTTACGTAACAAGGAAGTATGGTATTATATGGTAAATTAAAGTAATTTATGATTGTAGCCGTAGAATAGAATGTAATTGTTGGCAACCCTACTGATCCTTGCTCTTCCCATAATCGTTATACGGTTAAAATAGTAGTTTATTTTGAGGTGAGCCAGAGTTCGTCGGGTCAGCGTAAAATCAAAATAAAAACAAATGACACGTCAATGACGTCACACCCAAAATGACGAGGACGGAAATAATAATTATGTTCTTTTTCTAAATTCAGATACAACCGCCTTTACAACAATGATAAATAAAACAAATGACAAGCCAATAACGTCACGCCCAAAATGACAAAGATAGAAACATATCGTGTTCTTTTTTTAATTCCAAAATATGTATGTCGTGTAATCTTTATTATATTAATATTTGTATTCTATATTCCGTGAATATATCAAGTATTTTGATTAAAAGAAAAACCTATTTTAGTTAACGATAGAAAGGAATTAGTCTTTTGTAGATTTATTTATAGTTCGGCAAAGTAAATACAATTTCCGGATTTGTCGATTTCAATTGAAATTTATTCCGATCAACATCTGAAGTAGTTGTTCAAACAATTTATTCATGGATTCCTATTATACAATAATATAATATTATGTTACTTTGTTTAGACTGTTTCTATTAACATTTTAACGGCCATATTGTGTGGTCAAACATCATACGTGGTTCAGGAATTTAATATTGATGGAGTTTCGAAAAAAAATAGGTAATAAGTATACATTTTAGGCTCTGGAATAGTGCTCTAGTTAGCCCTATAAGTACCTGCGTTCCTTTTTGTAATATAAAACCCACCTATAAAGGACTCATACCTAAGTTACAAGGTCCATTGTCAATTTGGCTACAAGAGACTGAATTTTGATAAAATGTTAACATAAGCCAACCTGGCTTACTCTCTAGCCCAATTCCTATCGATCGACATTGATATCATGACGTACATACACTTTAGTTGTAACACTAGCCCCATTGCATCCGTATTGCGTGGATATTGAATGAATTAAATTTAATGGTATTGAGTTTGGCTTTATTATTACCTTACAATTCGGGTAGTAGTGTTGACATTGAATAATTATTAATATTTAAATTGAATTGACGTTGAGATTAGTTTGAAAAGAGAAGCGAAGCGCCCTGGTATTGAGTACCCATGGGTCACACTGATTACCATCAAACCAATCGCTCTATTTCATAAAAATTCTACCATCCATAGGTTATAGAAACTAGCCATTAGTCTTTGCCGTATATATAGGTTTGATTTGATTTTTTATTATTTTATTTCACCAAACTACAAGAAGCTTCATAACCAAATAACATCAAGTATCTTTACCTGCCTCCTACTTGAAAGTAGTATTATTACTGGTTTTCGTAAAAATCACATTCGTTTTCATCGGCTATTTTTTAGTCTAGACAATTTATTTTTGTATTTAATTAGAAAAAGTATCAATATTTTTTTTGAGTTTTTTATAAAAATAAATGCAAACGTAATGTAGGGCGTCCTCCTGTTAGGTTGAGTGACGATATCGGCAAGATGGATGCGCGGACCAACTCTAACAAACTATGCCTAAGTTTTACAAATAAAGTTCTGAGACTTTCGAATTGAAATGAACCTAGCGAAGAGATGTGTTTAAAACTCTTGTTTATTAAACTTAACTCTCTCTCTACAATTGAGTTAAGGCTCTCTTACCACAGCCGACTTGCTAAGTTTATAAGACACAGTTATTTTACTGAACGATTATTAAGTGCTACCTCTTATCACACAGAAGCGGGTCGCAATTTTGAGACAGGCTCAAAATATTCTCTAGTCTAGATTTTAATATTCTATTTTCAGTATTTTTAGAGTATAAAACTTAGCCTGACGGGCCTTGACACTTAGTTTTCCAGAAACATCTTAAGAATTTGTGAAGTTGATGTAATCTTTTATGAATTGTCAAGATTACTATTAGTATTTAGCTTTGAAATATTTAAATAGAATACTTTGTTACTATTTATTTTAGTGAGGTCGTTAACCTTTTCAGTGTCTCCGAATTTGGACTATCTCGAAGCCTATTTTGACTTAAAAATATTATTAAAGTATCTCTTGAAGGGTTTTTATCGGTTGTACTGTCTACCTAAGTTGTATGTAAATGACTGCATGGTTGGTGCGGTGGCTGGGCAACCGGCTGCCGTGCAACGTGTCGCGGGTTAGATTCCCGCACAGAACAATCGGAATGTGTGATCTACAAATTGTTGGTCTGGGTGTCATGTGTATGTGAACTTGTATGTTTGTAAACGTACCCACAACACAGGAGAAAACCCTAATGTGGGGCAACGTTTTTTAAAAATAATAAAAAAATATGTAAATAAATGGTATGTCCTATTTTTTGTTTCGAAAATAAGCGTTAAATATGTTTTTTTTGGCGAATTATAAATTTATTACATTTATTTTTATGTAGTTAGGTACATATCACAGTAGATGTTTAAAAATATGCAAAGAATAAGGTTTCGTTTAGACAGAGGTGAAGATATCATGTTCTTATTGCTAATTATATTACGAGTCTCATATATATACAGAATTCAAGGACATATCCACGAACTTTATGTAAGACGATAAATGCCAAGACTTTAAAGTTTACACCCAAATGTATAAGAATTATGACAGGTAATAAAACAAACCATCTGTGATATCTATGCTTAAGTTATAATAAAATAGGTAGAATCATAAAAATAAATAAAATAGAATTTTTGTTTACGATAGTATTATTTATACGAGCTTGTGAATTCACGGCTGTCATCTTCAGGGTGAATGGATCTTATTCCTTGTCGTCAGTGCAGTGCAATAAATTTTTAGAAGTAAATAACCATATATGTTCCCTGTTTATCTTATTTATTTATTAACACTTCTGTATAACAAACATACGATGGCGGACTTAATGCCGGGTGGCATTCTCTAACAGTCAATCTATCTTGTCGGTCGTTAGTTAAAAGTAAGCAAAACCAAGAGATAATCATAATATTTGTTTATTTATTTATTTATTCATAAACACATGGATAATTTTACAGCGTAAGCCAAAAAGTTACAATTAACTTATTATTATTATTTTATCATTATGTAGTGAGTAGGTAATATAAAATACAAAGTGATATTCAAATTATGTTTATAATACGTAAGGATAATTGTGAGAATGTGAGATGAACTTTTTTTATAATAAGTTTCTTCCTCGTTCTTCTACATTCGAAACTACCCTTTGGAACGACCACAGCTTCACTGACAATTCAATTTGACGTTTAAAAAGTGCTTCATTAAGGATAAATTGAAATAAATGCTTTGACTTTGATTTTGATGAAATAGAAAAGTACAATAACTATACCTAATTACTTAAAAGTATTTCATCAGCTATTCATCTTTTTACAAAATCATAAAACATTCACGACATACATCTTTCATCTCGCTGCGATCAAATCAGTCTGGTACGGATGCCAGTATTATTGCGTTTCTCAGTTTTGCTATATAACGTAGTACGATCCTGAAATTGAGTTCAGTGTGACGCATACGATTCGCATCGAGTTATTTAGGAGTCCTAACGTAACCGGTGAAAAGCAGTTTCACATTGAATATATACATTATTGCCTAGGTGGCTAGGTCTTCAGATATTCTCCGGAGCAGGTCTCTTCAGAGGACCCGGTGCCCCTTACAGGTGCTGAGGGTGGCCACCGGGGTGGTTTTAGTGAGGTAAGAATCCCACACTCCCTAGTCTTTCTCCCCAAAGAGGTCTTCAGATATTAAGAGCTGTGAAGGTCGTCATCAACAGCCTGTTAGTAATCACTGCTGACCAAAGGCCTCTACCCACACGAAGGTTTGACCATTATACACCACGCTCGCTTGCGCTATGCGGGTTAGCGATTTCTTATATTTATAAATAGTAACCCGCCCCGGCTTCGCACGGGTGCAATATGCATGTATTATACATATAAACCTTCCTTAAGAATCACTGTATCTATTAAAAAAAACCGCATCGAAATCCGTTGCGTAGTTTTAAAGATCTAAGCATACATTGAGACAGACAGACAGCGGATAGCGACTTTGTTTTATACTATGTAGTGATAAGCCCAGGTTACCTCACGATGTTTTCCTTCATCGTTTGTCAGTGGTGTCTCTCATGAGTAATAGGCGTCCTTATTGCAAAAGATTATACAGCGCATTTTCGTGTCTTAAATAAATATTACATTATAATATTCCACTCTCTGTTTTGAAATCCAAGCTTAGTGATTTAGTTCCTTGAGAAATATTAAATACGTGAAAAGTGTTATAAACTGGAAATCAACAGGCTCCCAAAGATGGAAAAGAGGGTCGCTTTGGAATTAAGGGGAAGAACTCCTTCACAGGTAAAGGAACTAAACCTGGACAATTGCAGGAGTACCATCATAGTTGCGTTAACAGATGAATACATTAACATTAACTCAATTGGCGTTCGATGGTCTCTGCATGTATGTATGACATACATACATTGTATGTGTGTATGTATTCCACTCAATTTACTGACAGAACTATTTAAAAGTTAACTATCCTATATTCTAAGTTAACTATCCAGCAACACACCTATTTAACTGACCGTGCTTACATTAAATTAATACGGTTGCTTTGCTAGCCTCTTTATGAATCATTCATGTATTTTCAGAATGTTCTTAAATATTTTTTGTCTCACATAAACTGTTGACGCCCAGCGGCTCAAAGTAAAAAAATTTTAGTTTTATTATACCTCTATATTACTAGCGGCCCGTCCCGGCTTCGCACGGGGGGACTTAAGATTTTTTACATACTTTTACGTTTTATTAATATTTATTCTCAGTTTATTATTTTTTAAATAGTAGGTAAGTACTTACCTAATAGGTATCTTTTGGATGAATTAACAGTCTTAGGGTAACCGATTGAACAATTCAAAAGTTATCTAGAGCAAACTTTTATAAGGATTGAACCATTCATTAAAACGATTGTTATGGGTAAACTATAAAAGGTATACATATGCTCTCGCGGACTTTTTTAAAAATAATGTTAAGATGAACATTTCATCTACCTCTATAGAGCATTTTTGTATAACTTTAACTATATGCTCAGCGCACGCCACGGAAGGCCTCAGAAACGATACTTATCCCCCGTTTTTTAAACATTTTTGGTTACTGCTCCACAACTATAGGACCTAGCGTGATATTATATAGCCTATGTTACTTCTGAATAATGCAGCTTTCTAATGGTGAAAAAATTATTGCAATCGGTCCAGTAGTTTTTGAGTTTATTCATTACAAACATACAAAAATACAAAAATACAAATCTTTCCTCTTTATAATATTAGTATAGAAGTATAGATATAGATATATAGCTGACTGCCTCGTTGCTCGAGTGGTCGCAAGTGCGACTGCCGGGCAAGGGGTCTCGGGTTCGATTACCGGGACGGACAAAGTATTACTGGGTTTTAAAAAAATTCTCAGTAGTGGCACGGAGTCTGGAAATGTGCCCGGTATATGGCAATAGGCTCACCCCCTATTACGTGGGACTCATAACATAAATAGTGAAAAGTGGGTGTTACTTCTGTGTGCACCTCTGTCTACCCCTTCGAGGATAAAAGGCGTGATGTTATGTTATGTTAGTTTTATTATATACTGGCTGTTGCCTGCGAATTCATCCACGTAGAATATGAATTCTAGAACATAACTTTTTTTAAATTTTCCGAAATAAAACTAGCCTATTATTACTCCTTAGTCACCTACCTGCCGGTAATCGGTCTAGCTATTCCAGAGATTAGACAGTACAAACAGACAAACAGACGAAAATTGTAAAAAAATACGAAAATTGTTAATACTTTGGTATGTGTATCGTATGTATATTCGTATGTATGTAGTAAAAAGGTTATTTTAATATTACAAACAGATACTCCAAATTTATCTGTATACAGTATAATTGGGACGATGACACAGTATGAAAATTAAAAATCTAATTAGTCCGTAAGTTAGGTTATTAAAAAATATTAGACACGTATTTTTTTCAAATTCAAACTCAAATTCAAAGTCTTTATTTGCATGTTAAGGTAATACATACAGGTCTTATGAAATAACAGGCGTTGCAAATTTTAGGGGTATCACTATTATTTTAGGGGATTATTTTGTCGTATAATAAAATAATACTTAGATAAAACGAATCAAAGTTTAAGAGTGGGAGCTAAATGTCATTTTCTACATATAAAATGTACATAGAAGTGACGTCACGCGACATTTCAAATCACTATATCGTCGAAAATATTCGTTTCTGTAAGAAAATAAAAAATACTTGTCTAATGATTTAAAATTATCGACCAGGCGGACATTAAAATTAGGCATCTACCCTATTGTATTCTTCCATCTTTCTGCCTGCGGCTTCAACAGCGTAGAATTTATATAATTTATATCGAGTAGAACGCAATTCCGTAAGATTTTTGGAATTGAAGCGACTTTGGCTTAAGTTAATCTTTGAAATTTAGGTGTACAAAGTGAAACCTTTCCAAATCGATCTTCGGATCCTTTTCAATACGCAAATAAACAAAATTTCTGTTAGTTATAATAGATTCAAGAACTTGATGATAACTTTATTAAAATTTATCTTCATTTCCACCAGGTACATGCTAGATCGCAAGTCAGCAGTCCACGTGTCAGCAAGAGTCCAGGACCTGTTCTTCATCATGGCAGTCTCCAACTCCTGCATGGATCCTCTAGTCTACGGCTCCTATATCATAGACCCTAGAACCTTTAAGAGGACGATTAGGAAGATCTTCTGCATCCATGTCAGCCCTTCAGAAATACCAGGTCAGTATATTAGTGACTCGTTGGTCGAGTAGTCGCAAGTGCGGCTGCCGGGCAAGGGATCTCGAGTTCGATTCCCGGGTCGGGCAATGTACAACTGGGTTTTTTTTAAACTTCTGAGTAATAGCACGGAGCCTGGAATTGCCCGGTATATGGCAATAGGCTCACCCCCTATTTCATAGGACTCATAACATAAATAGTGAAAAGTGGGTGTTACACTGTAAAGTGGCATTAAGTACCGTAATGTGCACCTCTGCCTACCCACTCAGGGATAAGAGGCGTTATGTTATGTTATGTTTATTAGTTATAATGGATTTCTTGTGACAATTTCTTTATTAACTAAAAATCGCGGGTTACTCACGTGAATATACTGAGAAAAGCTCTACTAGTTTCGAACCACAGAGGGTTCTTCCTCATGAGCGGCGTGTCGGTAGCGGCTATGTCGCGCAGCCTACTATGAGTAACCCGCGATTTTTAGTTAATTTAGTATGTCTCACGATAGTTATTTACTTATTATAAACAATTTCTTTAATTAATCTATTATATTTTTGGGGTTACGCACGGCCGTACGTAATGGCCGTGGTAGCCCGGAGTTTTAAGACGCCCGCTTCTCATATATGAGAATGCATTAAGTAAGCGTGGTGGTTAAAACTAAGGATACGCTGGGGACAAATGTCCCAAGACATTTATCAGCGATATGTCGAGCGAAGCCGGCCGATGTCGCCTGCCATACCTATACGGTGACAACGACCGCGGGACGATCTCCGGCCACCGTAAGCGCGGGCCTGCGGACGGCGAGCATGGGTCGGCCGCCCGACCAAAACCAGACCCGAGCGTAGAGCGTAGAGCCATCAGACCACCACGGATGGGGCCCAATAGGGCTGATGCCGATCGCGGAGAACCTAACGGGTTACCGGGGCTCCGGCTCGAAGTGCAGGAATAGGAACGGGGTGATTTAAATTCAGTGAGAGTCTCAGCCTCACCCAGGTGGGAGCAGTCATACGACGATTTTCTCTCTTAAAAAAAAATACGCAGACAACACGCAACTTACATCAACAGTGACGTTGATATTGCCAGATATGTCGATCAAAGCACAGTAATAATATTATCGTGAGCAAAGTCCGGCGACGTTGCGCTACTTCACCCGACGTTGCTGGCGACATGTGTCGCAGGACATTTGCATAGGTGTATTCCTGGCTTAATAGTCAAACCTTCTCCGTGCGAGAAGAGGTCTTTGGTCAGCAGTGGCCACTTGTAGGCTGATGATGTGATATCAAGGTGCTCCCTCACAGGGAGCATTCGCGTGTAATGTAACATTACAGATCTGAGCATTACATCGGTGAAGGAGGAGAACCGAGCATTACAATGCCCATCTTGTAATGATACAATGTGTAATATCTTGATACAACTTGTAACATCAATGCGCTCCACTTTGTGTGTCGTAGCAAAATAAATAGTTTTTCTTTCTTTCTTTCTTTCTTTCCCCATCCAACATCAATATGTTACATTACACGCAAATACTCGTTAGTCAGGAAGGAATTATTGTACTGTAATGCTGGAAGTCAAATCTATTTATAATGTTACATTACTCGTGAATGCTCCCGGTGAGGGAGCACCTTTATGTGATTTATTATGTTGCGAGGTGCAACATAATATTTTTAATATTTTTCTCCATATTTTTTTTAGTCATAATATGTAATAAAATTTAAAAAATATATATGCTTTTTAATAATTCCTTTTTATTTTAAAGTTATTTATTAGATAAGTTGATATTTCGAACAGTTTCTTTTCAAAGTTTCCAGTTACTAGCTTTGATTATTATTTTCTTTGTTCGTGAAACCCGAACCTTAAACAAGATTTCATTCATATTATTTTCTTGTATTTGTTATTTGAATAGTTTAGAATTTCTGAACTCTCGTCACCTGTCGCTTAACAATGGTTTTATAAAATAGAATTATTTTGTTCATTTAAAAAAAACCAACAATACAGCCTACGAAGAAAAATCTTCGATAATTTTTATTTCTTATTTACAACATTTTCTATTGGTGCTCCACTTTTTAAGTAGTTTTTTTTGGGGGTAATCATCCAATGACTTCTCTCGCCCGGTTGAGGCGAAAGGGTGTCTCACTCCCTTTCGCCTCACTGACTAAAAACTACCTGACCCGACCCTCACTGACTAAAAACCACCCTACTCCTGCACTTCGAACTGGAGCCCCGGCAGCCCGTTAAGATCTCCGCGGCTCCGTATCGGCATCAGCCCTATTGGGCCCCATTTGTAGTGGTCTGATGACTCCTTGAGGCGCGCGCGGTACGCGATGCACCTTACGCTCGGCTATGATAATATTACCGTGGCTCGGGTCTGGTTCTGATCGGGTGGCGAGTCACCCGTGCTCGCAGTCCGAAAGCCCGTGCTCATGCTGGGCGAAGATCGACCCGCGATCCCCGACGACTTTTTTAATTAGGTAATAATGTGTCATTTTACAGACAGTTTTCCTCCAAAAATAAACTATAAAACACATCACCAAATAAAATACTATTTTTATTACGAACCAAGGTTCAAAGATTTTCACAAATGGGCCGGCTCGACCGGCGTGATACCACGGCCTCACAGAAAACCGACGTGAAACAACGCTGTGTTTCGTTTTGTAAGTGAGGTCACGGAAGCCCAATTACCCCCCTTCCCAATCTCCCCAATCCCCGAATCCCCAATAATCCTGAAAAACCTAATCCCCAAAGGCCGATAACGCACTTGTAACACCTTTGGTGTTTCGGGTTTCCATGGGCGGCGCCGATTGCTCGTTTACCAGCACATTCTATAAAAAAAATCATTCAAACAAAAAATGCATATTAACACCTATTAATATTATCTATGCACTTTGTACATATTCGTACAGATTTTCTTTATTTATAGACGTTTATTAAATTAGAAAGGAACACCTCACATATTGTTATAAATTACATTTTATATACCTACAAGCGGACCCGACAGACGTTGTCCTGCATATCCACTTGAATGTATAAACAACAATTAATGCAAATTAGTTCAGCCGTTTAGGATAAATAACCTAAACACCGATTGCAGCGCCATCTGCCGGGCTGATTTGTGAATCTAAACCATCCAGGGCGTCACACAAACGCGTACAGAAAAAATCATTTAAATCGGTCAAGCAAGCCGTTTAGGAGGAGTTCAATGACATACACACGTACAGCAGAATTATATATATAAAGATAAATAGAAGATAAAGCAGAATTATAATATATATAAAGATATATAGAAGATAAGTCAATATTTACTTTTATTCTACCATCCGATAATCCATTGTATATAGAACAGGCGGCAATCCATATACAACTACGTCCAACATAATCTGACTTCGGTTTTCCTGAATTTTCCATTCAATGAGAGACCATTTTAAAGCAGACTATACTTATAGGTTATGGTGTCATAGGTCTATTCATCTATTGTATATATTATTTTTAATATTAGACACCAACGGGTCAGTCAGTTACCCGATAAATAGGGTACCAAGTACTTCATGTTTAACGGTTGATCGCACTTGACTGACTTATGAATTATGGAATATATATAGCCATCGCGAAGGACACACCGGGCGTCGGGGATCGCGGGACGATCTCCGGCCACCGTAAGCGCGGGCCTGCGGACGGCGAGCATGGGTGGCTCCCCGTCCGACCAGAAACAGACCCGAGCGTACGGCGCGTCGCGTTCCGCGCGCGCCTCAAAGAGCCATCAGACCACCACAGATGGGGCCCAATAGGGCCGATGCCGATTCGGAGTCGCGGAGAACCTAACGGGTAACCGGGGCTCCGGCTCGACGTGCAGGAGAAGGAACGGGGTGGTTTTTAGTCAGTAAGAGTCTGACACTCCCTCCCGCCTCACCCAGGCGGGGGCAGTCATTCGATGATTTTCCCCCCTTAAAAAAAAAAAAAAAAAAATGGCCTTCTCTGTAGTCTCAACTATACGATATATTTATATGAAGGCAATATTGTTTAAGCGTAACGATGTAACAGATAAAATAAACTGATTATAATATTAATCAGAATAAAGTAATTAAGCTATTATTATTAGTAGATACCTAATAATTTATCAATGTCTAATGAACATGTATAATGCCCCGTTGGCTGAGTGGTCACAAGTGCGACTGCCGGACAAGGGGTCTCGAGTTTCATTTCCGGATCGGTCAAAATAATACCTACTGTTATTTTTTTAATTCTCAGTAATAGCACGGAGTCTGAAAATGTGCCCGGTATATGGCAATAGGCTCACCCCCTATTACATGGAACTCATAACACAAATAGTGAAAAGTGGGTGTTAAATTATACAGTGGCATTAAGTGATGTAATGTGCACCTCTGTCTACATAACAAAAATATATAAGGATAAAAGGGAACATATCTTAACATCACAATGTTATTTTATGTTATGTCTTATCGATTGTTAAAAGACTATTATGAGGCATTTTAAAGTTTTCACACTGTACAGTAATATTAGACATCGCTATTATGATGTGAATTTATTATTTCAGCTAAATTCGTGAGATCAGTTAAAAGTTTCAATTGTAAATGGGCTTAATTAAACCTCAGTTTTTTCATTTCAATTTAATCTCAGACAAATGTATCCCCCGAGACTTAATATTAAATTTTGAAAAATATGTAGACTGAATATAATAATATTTTTGAAAGTTAAAAAATGTATCATATTTGTAAATGCCCGAAAAAAAAACTCAATCCAATTTGATAAAATTATAATCAGCTCTTCCATTTCATTGATAAAGCAAAAATATAAATTTTCCTGAGTTTGATACAGATTTTTGTATGATTGCTAACATTTCTATAAGGGGCAACTACTAAAAATCAAAGATAGACTGAGAATATACAAAATGTTTTTACACATTAGCATTTCCCATGTTCGGATCAAAAACATTATTATAGGATGGCTCAGTACCGCTAATAGGGTCTCTAGTCGCCTATAATCGTATCAAGCGC